CTCGAGTATCTTTTGTCTCACCTGCTTTGAAACTCCCGCTTCTTCAACCCGCGTCGCGCCTTGTTATCCCGAAATTTGGACACGCGCGAGAACTCCCTCCTCATCCGAAATCGCTCCCGCAGCCCAGACACGCGAAATCCCCCTTCTACCCCTCAGTCGGAAATGAAGCTCCACGTCGTGGTGTCAAAACCGGTGGGGGTACGCTGGTAACCTATCCTACATTTCGGACAAACGCGTCCCTAAGCTTGGCTCCCCCCTCCCCCTTCGCCCCCATTCATACACCGAGGCCGCCAAAACCCGCGAAACCCCACGCTCCTCCATCGGCCTCCCGACCGCCGCCCAGCCGGAGACTCTTCCCCGACTACGTCGTCCACCGCAACAGCTCGCCGTCCCTCATCCACTGCACCGGATGAGGATCCGTTGTCAATCTCGTCGTCCCGCCAGATCAGCCGCCCCGTCCTCCACATCCAAGGAGCTGCCCCGATGTTTGCCTCGTCTATCGCGCCACCTCAATCCCCACAGCGCCGTCTTGACCTGCCCCACCGGAACCGCAACACCCTCACCAATTCCTCTGATGAAGCCGAGGCCAACTCGGCGCCACCAAGGAGGTTCTGCACTCACCGCTGCATTTTATCTTTTATTTGATCTCACGGGGCTGCCGGTGCTCGATACCGAGTAGACATGGCGTGTCTCCATCGACGGTGCCGTCGCCGGCCACATCATCCACGGCGTCTCTCCCCCATGTCGTTGCTTCCTCGGCGGCAACTTCCACAACGGCACTATCTGCAGCTGCTCTGGCTCTCGCTCGTGCTGCGGCTCTGTTCTTGTTGTCGGTCGTGCTGCTGCACTGCTCCTGCTTTTGTTCGTGCTGCTGCTCTGCTCTTGCTCTCGCTTGCGCTGCTGCTGCTGCTGCATGACCTCCGGCAGCTACAGGAGTTGTTGCTTTAGCACTCGCTCGCGGTGCTACTGCACGACTTGCTCTCTGCTAGTGCGTTCCCTGCTCGAGCGTTTGCTAATTTAGATCACTGCTTCTCTGCTACTAGTGCTCGAATGCCCTAAACATCTATTGCAATGCTCTGTTACTAGTTCAATCAGTTTCAACAGTAAAATTCAGTTTCAACTGTGAAGTTCATTTTCTTCAGTTAAGTTCAGAGTGAACAGTACTTACAGCATTTGTCGGAGCGGCCGTGGCGCGGCTGATGCGTTTTACATCTAGCACTTTTTGGTGATGTATTTTACATCATCTATTGAAGATGATATTAGGGTCCCACTTCAGATTAACGTTGTCTGTCTTGTCATGCTTCAGCCTCGTCGTCGTACACCTTAGTGGAGCTGCTCCAACAACGGAACCATCCATCACAGCGGAGTAGTACCCTCGGCGCCGTTTCCAGAGGCCTCGGATCTTCGTCCCCGCCTCCGACAGTCACACCAGCATCATCACCATCCTCCACGTCCAACCCAATGATGCCGAGGTCCACAAGGCTATGCGAAAGAGGTTGTACACTCGTCGCATCACTTTGTTTCTCCATTCCTCTGTTCTTCCAATTCATGTGAGCCAAACACCCAGGTTGACTGAAATCCTATATTTCCAAATGCTCTGTTTTGCACGTGCATTCCTATCTTATTCCTGTGTTTTTCCTGTCCCTGCGTTTATAGAATCCTCCAATTCTAAGGAGCCCTTATAGATTTACTTCATTTTCAGATAGGCATCAAAGAAAACTCTATGTGTTATGTCCTGCTCCTGTCGTGCCGTCATCCACCCCACCTGAGGTGCACCATCGATAGAAGCGTTCACTGCAGCAGAGATCCCCCCTGCAAACTTCCTTTCGCCGCCTCAGATCATCTTCCCCGTTGCCGGCAGCCACGCCAACTGCATTACCATCATCGACTGAGCAGATGAACCCGAGGACTACACAGTTCCGGAAGAGATGTCGCAGTCTTTTGTGTTTGCTTACGTTATACATCGGTTATTATTACCTGCTACTTTATCGTTCAATCTTGAGTTTTGAATTGCCCATGGGTCTCATATCGAGCCAGCAATGAATAGTATCTGTCTACTATCTGGTTCATCTGGGGTCTTCTATGTGGTTCATGTTGGGTGGGCAACAAACAATAGATGATTCACTGTCTATCTTTTTAAACTGAAGCTATAATCTACCTGCTATCATTAGTTTTGGATCCATCCACTCGTTTGCTACCATCAGTCTTGAATTTTGCATGCAGCCCTTAGGCCTTACAAAATCTAACTATTTTTATTATTATGCATGTCAGATATTGTACATAATTGTACTGAACATGTAGAGAAAAAGAGAAGACCGTTGCGTGCGCATATAATGTCATGCAGACGCCGCTCCATGGTGGGCGAAGTGCCCCCCTCCTGCATTTCCAGATTGTATTCCAGAGGAAGATAATTCTTCAGATGGAGATTCAGAAGGAGCCGACCACGCTTGTTTACCACCTGAGGTGTTTGCTCTAACCTGGCATGCTGATGTTGGTCATATCATGCATATGGCGCCTTGCATTGCTTACATTATACATCTTATATGTCATCAGCTTAGTTTAGATTTGCTTTGTGTGAATGCCACCTGTTTGGTTTCTATATCATACTCCCACTATTCCTAAATATTTGTCTTTTTAGAGATTTCAACAAGTGACTACATACGAAATAAAATGAGTGAATCTACACTCTAAAATATGTCTATATACATCCGTATATGGTAGTCCATTTAAAATCTCTAAAAAGACAAATATTTAGGAACGGAGGGAGTATATGGGAATTATGCAATGCCATCTTCTTTAGCCAGGCATCATATACGTGAATCATGCAATGCCATCTTGTTTAGCCAGTCATCGTATATGTGAATTGTATCGTGCCATATTTTTTCCCATAATGTATTCCATTTGTCAACAATGTTTATACATTCATCTACTCTTCCTGTGCATTAGCCATTTGAGTTGGTCATGGGAAAATCTGGAGTGAAAACAAGGTCTTCTGAGCAGTCAGTGCTACCTGTCGATGCAGATTTCTTGCTGGTTACAGATGGCTCCTCAGAGGAGGATTCAGAGAGAGATGACCAGTCATATCCCCTCCGGTGCATGCTCTAACTTGGCTGGGTTATATTGCTCATATCATGCATATGATGTCTTGCATTGCCATGCCATCTGCTTAGATTAGACATGCTTTGTGTGAATGCCTCTTGTTTTCTTTTTATATCAGATATGTGAATTATGCAATGCCATGTTTTTCAGCCAGTTATTATATATGTGAATTATGCACCGCCATGAAGTCAGGCATCATATATGTGAATTATCTCATGCCATCTTTTTTTTCATTACATATTCCATTTGTCGACAATCTGTGTATATTGAACTACTCTTCATGTGTATCATCCATTTGAGCCGGTTATAGAAAAATCTGGAGTGAAAACAAGGTCTTCAGAGCAAGCAATGGTACCTGTTGAAGCATATATCTCGATGGTTACAGGGAGCTCCTCAGATGAGGATTCAGAGACAGGTGACCAGTCCTATATCCCACCTGAGGTGTATGCTCTAAGTTGCAATGTTTATATTTCTCATATGATGCATATGGTGTCTTGCATTGCTTAGTTTAGACATCATATGCACAATATTGAATTCTATCTGCTTAGTTTAGAGATCATACATGCGAGTGCCAGCTGCTTAGTATATGAATCAATTATGTCAATTATATCATGCCATCCTGTATACTTAGACAACATGTATGTGAATTATTTCACCCCAACCTATTTTAGAAAGACATCATATAATTTTGTCATGTCATCCTGTTTAGGTACTCATCATATGTTGAATTATGCCATTATATCCTGTTAAGTTATCCATCATATATCTGAAACTGTGTCATGCTATCCTGTTTAGTTAGGCATCATATATGTGAAATTGTGTCATGCTGTCCTGTTTGGTTAGACAACATATATGTGAATTACCACATCTGTCTATCATACAATGTCTGTACATTCAATTTCTTTTCTTATTTATCAGCCATTTGAATTGGAGGGGGTGATGGCAGTATCTAAGGAAGAAAAAACCCGTTCTTCACAAAAGATAGTGCTACCCGTCGATGCAGATAGAACCATGGTTGTACTAGCCCACAAACTAGCCCCACCACACATAATCGAGACTCTTCCAGATTGCACACTTACACTGTTGGGCAGAGAACTAGCTACAACCCATCTAACCGCAACCCCAGCGGATAGTAATCCACTTATAGTGACAAAACACCATGTCCACCACAAAGTACCCCCACACGAGCAGTTTGTAATGCCCAAAGCGCGAAGACCACCACAGCTAACCCAAACTCCACGTTTAAAGCAGAAGAGCAACTGTTCTCAGGTCAGATTCCGTAGCTATGGTCCATACTCCTTTGTTGTTGCATCACTGTATTTACTCATACCAACTACTTTCGAATTTGAAGGATCCAACTGAAACTCCAATGACGCAACAGGTATGTTTTAAACATATTTCTTTAACTGGATTGCTGTTCTAACTTCTTGCTCTATGTTGATTTCAGTTTAAGTTGTATAAACAGTTATGTTCTCATGTGATGCACATTACAAGTGTTGCTAATGCTGTGTAGTTTCTCACACTTATATTCTGTCTATGCTGTTGTGTCTTAAAAATATATGAGTTGAACTGTGTCTCTATCTTGATTAGGGAACATAAACTAGAATGATATGGACAACCTTCATTTTTACTTTTTTGGAACAACCTTCATTTTTTTGAGACATTCATTTATTTTTATAGAATTTTAAAACGTTTTTCATGGACCTTCATTTCGGTGTCACTACCACTGCCCTACAGGCCCAACAAACAACTACGTCTACCTGGGCCGCCAGGCCTCGTCCCCGAACACAAGACACAACAACAACCGGGTCGGCGCAAAACTCTGTGCAGGCGCACGTTCTAGCCGAAGCCGCCGCCGCCGCCGACGAGCACGACATCTCAGGTGAGGAAGGGAGGCGGGAATGGCGGATCATAAGGTGGCTCAGTTGGGGCCTGGAGCTGCGTGCTGCGGCTGGAACCACTGCGGCCGGCGCCTAGCCGCCGGCGCCGTCGATGGGTCCGTTTCCGTCTACGATTCTCAGCCGTCCCCCTCCTCCAAGTGGCAGGTCAGTCTCCCACACCACCACCAGCCCACCACCTTAAACACGGAAACCCTAAAACCTCACATGGCACCCACCCACCCAGCGTCTCGTCCTTTCGCTTCCACTCGGGTGGTTTAGTACTGACCTAGTATTTCTCATGAGTTCGTCAAGATTTAGTGCAAGTTTAGAGCCTTTTGCTAGAATTCGATTCTTCGTGCGTAATACGGCAATATCATGTGGCTCGTTGCGTAGGGCTACGATTACCAAGTTATTGCTTTGGGATGCGGTAATTAGTTTGCATGTGGAGACTGGAGTGTTTCTGCATTCTTGATGCACCAAACTGGCTGCACATTCTGTTGAATGGTTCTATTTGTAAAGATCAGTGTGCTGATGTGATGTTGGCACTTGCGTAGAAATTATGCTGGAGATGGAGTACTATGGGCGTTGGAAAAGCATATATCCCATATCTTTCTGAACCATTGTATCTTCCTTTTGGTGTTTCTTGTGTACTAAGTGAGACTTGTTTCGTAATGTGGTTGGTCTTGGGAGCAGGCCCATGAGCATGCCATAGTGGCTGTCGTCTGGCTTCCTCCGGACTACGGGGATGCTATAGCTTGTGTCTGTGCTGACGGTACACTGTCTTTGTGGGAGGAGATTGCTGAAGGTCAGCTTTTCTTGTTCTATCTTATTATATGTTTCTAACAATCTTGCACTTTCAAGATGGGGATAGTTGTGCTGTTATTATCTTTTGTACTGAGAAGTCTGAAGGGGCTTATGCATTGATGAGAATGAATTTGGAGACCACTCAGCAATCATTGATCTTGTTTTAGTTGCCTCTCCGTCTTCGTTACTAGCTCAATTTTCCCATGAAAATATACATGCAGAATAGTACTTGGGCTAGGATCCGTTCAGTACTGACAACCAATTAGGGACTCTTTGTTTCGTAGGATTTCCCAAATGCAGGAATAGGAAAAACGTGGGATTGGATTTGCATGTCATCTTGACATGTCCAGTACTGACTACCAGTACATCTGAAGCACTTCAGTTAGTTTACCCCTCTGTCATGTGCAATACTGACTATTGAGTAGATCCAAATCAAATTTATTTATTTATTATTATTTTTTGACACATCAAACTCATTTTAAAAACTGGAATAGGAATATTTCACTAGACTTTGCAGCACAATGCAACATATCATGTAATCCCAAACTGGCCTTTATGCGACTTAAGGCGCTGCTTAGATCTTGAATATTTAAAACATATGACTAATTTTACCAAATTTGGTTTTGCAACAACGAACAGCCTCTTGCAGAAATGTAGGGAAAGGCTGCGTACTATAGACCCAAAGTGGTCGGACCCTTCCCTGGACCCTGCGCAAGCGGGAGCTATGTGCACCGGGCTGCCCTTTTTTGGTTTTGCAACAACGAAAAACATTGTTTGCTTCTCTGACACCAGTAACATCAACTTCTAAATCTCAAGCAGCCGGTCCTGCAAAAATCTACTTATATACATTTTCTAAGATAACTTAATCGAGAAATCTTAAATCTAGTAGTATGTACCAAAGAACTTATTAATTAATCCAGTCTTGGCTAACGTATATATGTAAAGAAATCAGTTTTGCTGAAGGTAATCATGCAAACAACCTTTAAGCTTCATTGTTTTCGTCAGCTCTGGATTTCTATACATCAAAGCTGCATTCTGCTTCATGTTATATAATTATGGAAATATACGTAGTACGCTTGTCATTACTGTATTTCATCCCCTTCCTATTCTTCAATAATGGAACCTGGTAGGCAAGGCCCTCACTAAGAATTTTCCACTAACAGATGATCAACTTCCAATCTGGAGAAAATGTAAAGTCTTTGAGGGTGGCAGTTCCCACATCCTAAATGTACAGTTTGGTGTGCTGCTGTCAAGTCTGAAAATGGTGAGTTACCCCTGATTCGTAAACCAGCAGTTTCATTTCACTTCTCACATGCAACAAGTTGTAAACTAGCCTGTGCTGAAGTGGTGCGTTGTTTCATTGTGTTGACCATGCTAGAAGTTCTATTCTTATTTTCCAAAGCTTTCTCACTGTTATGGACTCTTCGTTGCATGTGCATCATTATTTAGTAGTAACTCTTGCTGGTCTTTTTAGGTTATTGCATACTCAGATGGTCAAGTGAAAGTCTATGAACTTTTGGATTCGTTGGAATTGGACAAGTGGCAGCTTCAGGTTCATCTAAATTTTGCTCTCATTTGTCAACGTTCTCAATAATTGCATTTTAGTTCCTTTCTACTGCAGATGAATCTCTTGTTAATCTAAACTAGCAAACCCATTATTTCATCATTCAAAGTGTTGTCGCCATTTTTCTGTTTTGAAAAACTAGAGCAATTCTGATTCCTAACAATAACTTCAGGCAGAGCTACAGAATATTACCGATCCTGTTTCCAGAATTGGGAAGCCAGCATGCATTTCTGCATCAATTGCATGGAGTCCAAGAAGAGGTGAAGGCCAGCAGGCTAGTTTTGCTATTGGTTTCAATTCGGATTCTCCAAACTTTAACTCTTGCAAGGTTCGTGGACTGTTTTCATTGTTTCTTGTGCGCTCAACATGGAAATTATAAAACTTCTGCAACTTCATCCCAGCAATAATCACAGTTTTCTTATATTATCTTGCTTTTGAAGAAAAATGAAATAAGAGCTGTTATTAGGGTGATGACTGTGAATTGAAGTGATGAAGTCTACAAAGAGTAATTGAATGCAAATGCATATGATGTCGCTTTGGCTTTGCAGTGATGAGCAACCAACTTTTCGTGTTTCGTAGTTCATGAACTGGTATTTTGTCTATGGTAATATTCTAATTTGAAATGGTAAACAGATTTGGGAGTTTGAAGAAGCTCACCAGCGCTGGCTTCCACTTATTGAACTTGGTTCACCGGAGGATAAGGGGGAGAGAGTACATGCTCTAGCATGGGCTCCTAACATTGGCAGGTTAGCCCTATCTTGAGCAAACACGACAAGCCCATTCCACTATGAATAGTTTGCTCTTTCATCCCCAAGATGATTAGCTCCACAATCACTGATAACTCCTTGGGCCTCTTCACAATCCTCGCTCCAAGTTGAAAACCTTCTTTAATCTTCTTCGCTTGATGAAATATTTCAATTTTCTCTCCCTGAAACCAGTATGGGAAGATTTCTCGTGATAGCTTCTTCACTCGCATATCCACCATTGCTTGATGGACCACAAGCTTCAAGTATATGTCTTGACATAATGCTCGACTTGAACTTGCATGCCTTGATAATTAAGCTGAACTCAGGCGTAAGGGTGGTAATTGATGGGTTGGTGCTAGGATGGGCTTGGAAAGAGCATGTCAATTGGGTAGATCATCATATTGCTATGCTTATATCGATATGCATTATTTCATTATTGGTTGTTTGTGTTTGTCCTGACAATTTGTTGTTTTACCATAATATTGCTATGCTCTTGCAACAATTTTCAGACCATATGAGATGATAGCAGTTGCAACCTGCAAAGGCATTGCAGTGTGGCATGTAGGCTTCAACCCTGAATCTGACGGCAGACTGTCAACAGAGAATGTTGCTGTACTTCCCAGCCACAATGGGGAGGTATGAACGAGAAACAACTTGCCTGAAATTGTTTTCATGTTAACGTGCCCTTTACGAGAACATGGTGGTATTTATAATCCCTGCAATTGAATAGTTGCAAATCTGCTACGTAATAGAGGAATAACGCTGGTATAGCCATGGCATGCGTCAAGGAGAAAGAAAGCTTTAACTGTTGTTTTCCAGCCCGTCTCATTTTCTTGGGATAGATCTCACTGTGTTAAGCTACTTTTCTGTAATCATCATCATCATCATTATGTATTATGTATTATTACTCAGCTCACTTGCATTTGACATCCAACTAGGTATGGCAACTGGAATGGGACATGGGCGGTATGACGCTCGCATCGACCGGAGTGGATGGCATGGTTAGGCTATGGCAAGCCAACTTAAATGGAGTTTGGCATGAGCAGGCTGTGCTTGACTGCAATGGGTCACACCAGTAAGGGCTGTTCACAACAAATAGGATCCCAAATTGCAGGCACAAAGCAAACTTAAATGCCTTAATAGCTCTACAACATGAAGATAGGATCCCAAATTGTGGTTGCTATCTGTTCACAATTCTGCAAGGTTTCTTTATGTTGTCTTGTGTGGAAGGTATAGCGCATGCATGGTTGGCTTTGCCCTGACAAAACTAGGCTCCTCAACCATGAATGCATGATGTACCTGTTATCCTTATCTGGTTGATGATGTAGCTGTTCTTTATGGCCATGTGATGGGAAAAAAATGGTCCACAGTTGATAATGTATCTGTTCTCTTGTAAACAATTTAGCCTGCTGACTAACTTTATTTTATTCAACTGTCAACAAATCAGTTCACAGTCTTGAAATAGTGTTCGGTGTCGTATATACCACATATATGAAATACACCCTTGGTCCCAAAATCAGTGTCAAAATTGGGATATGGAAAATGAGTTATGAGTAAGATCCATTTTACATTTCTCTTAGATAATAAATGTCATTAATCAGTTTTGAATATAAACAAGTACTGCCTCTGTTCATAAATAGTTTTGAGTATAAGATATTTTAACCTTTTCTGAATAAGATGTATATAGATACATTTTACTATGTTTGTTTACTCATTTGAATGGCTCTTGGGTGTAATTACACCTGATTTTTTAAAATAGTAATTTGTAAGAAAGTCAAAAAAATCTGAAACTTTTTACGAACAAAGTAGATTTATTGTTGCACTTGTATGAAAACTTTCGTGAAGAAATAACTTTCATGTTGTTGTGGACTTAAAAAAACAAATTTGTTGTTATATACGCCGTAGAATATTTGTCATTTCTGTCAGAGAATATTTCGTTGCAGAATATTTCTGTACACCAGAAACGACATCTCAAGTTTGTTGGGAAAAAGTTTTGGAACGTTTTGACATTTTCTGACATTTTTGAAAATAAAATACGTAACCAGGTGTAATTGCCACCATGTTCCAAAGGGTATATTTTGTATATTGGCCCGTAGGTTGAGCCCACAAGTGGTCCTTGAACAGTATCATCCATCCATCCATCCTAGGATGGATTGCATATCGTGTTCTAGAACACTGATTGGAAGCTATGAAGCGTTCCGCTTAAGCTATTGGAATGTGACTGGCGCCAGCCACAAGTTTATGCTACTGATGGTGCTGGATATTATCTTGTATACTAATAATTGATTGATTTTTTTTTCTCTTTCTTTCTTGTGAAAGTCTTTTCGGGAAACGCTGATGTGCGTGCATCATTGAAAGCGGGCAGCCATATTGCTATCACGTGCTACTGGTGCGTCGCTATTGTTAGATTCTTGCGTATCATCACAAAGATTTACGCACTAGAAATTGGGAAATACTAATACCTACTAGCACCGGATGCGTCTAGGACCACATTTCAATCCCCATTCACGCCTCCTTTAGTTCATATGATAGGAATATCACAAGAATATGAAATTTGTGAAAGGCCTCCATTGGTGTGTAGGAATTTCATATGATATGATTTGCATAGGAAAATCTTCTTTGGAGTCTTTGATTTGTAGGAATGGATTTCTATTTTTGTGTAGGATAGAGATTAATCCTCACATTTCAACGAAAAAATACATTAGCCTAGACTCAATGGATGCGTTCTTATCCTATGCATCAAATAACATATTTTTTTTCTATAGTAATTAAGATACATGTCATTTCACTTCCAATGCCATTCTTACCCTATGAATCAAACGAGGCCGAAATGAGATGACATGTATAAAAAATTCCTATGAAGATGAATACGGAAAGAGATGTTATTTGATTCACATAATAGGATTTTTTTAAACTGAGTCTAGGCTAAGGTTTAGGCCTCCTTTGGTTTTACAGGAATTTTATAGAAATTCTAAATGGTAAAAAATATGTACACCAGAAAAATTCCTTTGAAGCCTTTTGGTTTATAAGAATCGATTCTCATCCCTATGTAGATAGGAACCAATCTTTCACATTCTAAAGAAAAAAAACATTAGATTGGACTCAATGAAAATTTTCTATCATATGCATCAAATGACATCTCTTTTTTCTACGAACTAATATATACATTCCTATCATTCTTCTGTCCCTATAATATTCATATCCCATAAATAAATCAAAAGGAGGCCTTATTTTCCTTTAAAATGTGAAGAACATGAATTCATTTCTACGAATCAAAAGGCCCTAAAGAAAATTTTCCTACAGGAATCCCATCCTATAGAATTCATATGAAGTTCCTCTCCAAACCAAAGGAGGCCTCTGAAATCGGATTTCTCTTGCGGCGGCCGTACAATACTACAGAAAAGTAACAGTGACAGACCAGCTTTTTATCTCGAGAAACATCTGGCTACAGAAACGTGGACCTTCAGCCTCAGGTCCCCGCCGGATCACGTGAAGTCCCGACCGAATCACGTGGTTGCCACGCGGGCCGGGCCGCCCTGGACAGCTACAGTTGAGCAGCGTACAAGACGGACCGACCGTCCACCAACCACCGGACTCTCCCGTTCTAGCCGTGCCGTGCGTGGGAGAGGGAGAGGGATTGGGATGAATGGATAGTCGACTGCGCTCGCTGGCCACCACAAAACTGCGTCGATTTCGACGGATTCGATACTAGGTCACACATCACCCGGACAATAATTCGGTTCCCAGCCCCAGCCCCAGCAAGAAAGGTCAACACATCTATTGCTCCGTGAACATGTGCTTCAAGTTGGATTAGCACAGCAAAAGAAAATATGTTAATTTTCTGCATCGCGGAATTTTCGTTTCATGTTTACCAGGATAATGGCAAGGACAAGTAATACTCCTTTTGTAAATTAATATAAGACGTCTTTTACACCACAGTGGGAGCAATAACCAGGTAAGAAAGAACTAACAAAACCGCTCCTCGTGAAACAATTTATTCATCCACCTGGACAAAATCAAGAGTAAATACAAGTGCCGTGACAAGGTGAGTTGCCAGCTGAAAGCCCTGTGCACAAGTGTGATGATGAGGCCTTCATAAATAAAGTACTTTCAGTCAACCATTATACTATACTCAATAGTGGTGCTTCCACGATAGACCTCTTTCACATTGAATGCAGTTAAAGAAACAATGGACAAGTCCTCCAGAAAAATGAACTGTGGAACATGGTAACCCAAGGAGCTAAGCAATATATCAACCTTTATTCCTACCATGCCACCACAACACTTTTTAATCAACAATGCTAACAGTACGATGATGCATCACAACTGCCAGTCTATTACTCCCTCCGTCTCAAAATAAGTGTCTCAACTTTGTACTAATTTTAGTACGTGCAAAGTTGTACTAGGGTTAAAACACTTATTTTGGGACAGATGGAGTAAAAAACATGACATTGTCGCGTATCGACAAAATAGTGATTGATGGAAATGAGATAACCAATCAGGAGATTGCTTGATTGGGTGGAAGAACGACTTCCAATAAGGTGGGCGCATGCATAGTGGTCATAAAGGATGCAGTATATCTACTGTATATTGAGTTTGAGCTTTTAAATGAAGAAAGCGAAGAAGCTCAATTCAGCAAATTGATTTCTCAGCTTCAATCAACCACGCACTCTTGTAAAATCATGCCAGGGCCTTTTTTTAGCAAATATCGTAGGGCCTTCTCTGGCAGATGCTTTGGGAAGGCCAAAAGCCAACAGCCACTGACCTAGTCAATAGTGGAGTAGAGTACCAACTCCGTGTCTTTAAAACCAGAGGTTTTCTCATGTGTTGTAATGGGCAGAACCTGGGAGAAATAAGGTGTAGCGCCTCATAGTGTACCCCCACCACCACCAACGACCGCCGCCTACACCCACAAGCTAACCTCACCATTTCAGGAAGCATATGAGCAGCGAAAGCTTGGGCAAGAACTCCAAGATCATGGGTGGCCGTGAAAGAAAAGGTTCGCCACCATCCTGTTTTGCTTTGCTTGCTTGTTCCTTTCGATCTTTCTTCACTCTCTCTTCTCCAAAAAATTCTCTCCCTCTGTTTCACTAGATCAGTACACATAGGAGGCACAAAATCGAAGTTCTCTTTGATGGAGTTGGGCCATCTTAGCCACTGTTAGATAGACACACTACTGCTCTATCTAATGTGAGCAAGTTAGCCTGATTCCATCAGACATTACTGAACTTTCGTGCCTCACCAGATGGATATAGGAACAGGAGGCAGTACCTTTTAATTACTGTCATTTTGATTTTAAAAAAGGAGAGCTAACGAAGGATGAAGAAACAGTCTATGTTTTCTTAATATGATTTTTAGTGAACTTTAACATACATATTCGAAGGAAAAAAGCAAAGTGAGGGAAGGCTGTACCAGTTTCAGAGTAGTTCATCAAGGAAGCAATGCACATGTAACTACAGAAATTATAAAGAAACTGTATAGGTAATAAACAGGATATTCTTTACTAGACAAGAGAGTTAACCTTGAAGCCAGTGGAGGCCAGAGTACATCTTTGGTCTCTTCCAGCATATGAGTAAACTCCTCCAAGGAACATTTTGGATTCCAGTGGTGAACACACAAATTTCATTTGTTAAATATTCATATATGGTTGATTACTAGAGTTTGTTTCTTAATTTTATGACTACATTTTGAAGTTTCTAATATTTATGTAATATTGGCAGAAGTTAATAGCACCGCAAAGCATTTTGTTGATTTCACAGAAGCAGAGGAAGATCTTGTTTTCAGAATGCACAGGCTTGTCGGGAACAGGTTTCCTACTACCCTTATACTGATATATACCTACACATACATGTGAACTGTGTTTTGAGTGAATGAAGAAAATCATTTGACAGGCTCATGAAATCCATAAATCTATCAGTTCCAAGCAAGTAGCATTATCTGTGATTCCCTAATTGTGCTTCTCGTACGATGGGCTTGTGCAGGTGGGAACTTATAGCTGGAAGAATCCCCGGAAGAACAGCAGAAGAAGTAGAGATGTTCTGGGCAAAAAGGCACCAGGACCAATGAAAATGAAAACAGG